TCCATGACACTTGTTGCTTACAATCGTGACAAACAACCATACGAAAACGACAAAGTTCATTCTCATGTCGTTCTTTCTCGTGTTGGTTGATGACTTGGGAACAACCAGGGTTTGTACAACGTGTCGGTGAATAGCCACAGCTCTTGACATGGCGATCAAGAAATTCAAGCTTGATCAATTCTTGACAACCGCGCTGGGCGTGATCACAGCGAATCTTCAGGTTCTGCAACATATTCGTCAAAAGTCTCGGTGGTTTGCTCAAAGTTTCTTCCGTCAGATGGTGTTGACACGTCGGACACGTTTCGGAGTTTTCGTGCAAATGCTTTACAATACACGAGCGGCAGCAATAATGCTCATTCGGGCATTGGACTGGGTCTCTTAAGACGTTGCTACAAATAGGGCACAGTAATGTACTGTCTACTTCGTTTTCAAATCTTTCCTCTTCATATCCGCCGAATGAACGTCGCCTCGCCATTTCTCTTCGAAACAGACTCGAGAAAACGCTTTTTTGACTTGTTATGTTTGTTTGAGAGACAGATTTTAAGGAGCTTGTCTTGTACAGAGTTTCTTTGTTGCTTCTGAAAGGAAATACTGTGATGATGTGTCGTTATATCACTGGTCTGCTGCGCAGAGTTACGTGTGGTGACAGTAACCCGAGAAGTAGTATGCGTGTCATGAGACTATTGCGTCATACATCAGACCACCTCTTCAGGAAAAGATATCACTTACAGAACTGTCACCATTACGTCACCACTTGCAAGGTATGCGCCCACGCATGCTTGGTTACATTTTGATCATGCGCCAAAAATTCCAAAGATCGTAGCACTGTATAAGATCAGGAATCGAACCTGCAGACCCCGTGGCCCTGCCCAGCGAAATCACAGGAATGCAAGTTGAAATTGTTTTATTTTCTGTTTGGTTTTAGAATATTCCTGGACTTGAATTATTCCAACGAGCCAGCAGAGTAGTTCAACTTTTCGCATCACTTTGTACAGTCATCAAAGACGTCAAATCTTTAATCTGATACTCCTATTAAAATCAGCTTACAATATATACTAAGGAGATACGTATATATGTATATACATTAACAAAATAACTAGTATGAACTGTATATAAAAACTTTAAAAGATAAAAATGTACAATAAAAGTGTCATGCAATGAGATTGTGATATTTCCATTTTACTTCAAAATCATCATGAGACTAACTAAAGTCACAATATACACGATTTTTACACAATCTTTATACTAGATTCTATATTTATTACCACAATCTTTATACACGATCTTTAATATACACGATCTTTAATATACACGATCTTTAATATACACAATCTTTAATATACACGATCTTTAATATACACGATCTTTAATATACACGACCTTTAATATACACGACCTTTAATATACACGATCTTTATACCAGCTGGTATGTCATGAGGTCATTACAAAGGAATTTATAGGTAATATAATCCTGACAACAAAGGTGGGGAGTTAAATGTGTGATGGCATTTTGAAATCAAATTGCCTTGTTTGGTACCTAGCTATGCAGAAATTATATTACTTGGGTTTTGTTGCTATGAAGAAAAATATTTTTCTAGGCCTGACATACTACGCAAGCATTATTTATAAAGTAGTAAAGAACTACCAGAAGTTACTATTACAAGGAAAATGCTGCCAAAGCTTGGCATGAATGCTATCAGGAAAGATAATTAGAATGAATAATATCATTAGCATGCATTTTGCAAGCATGTAAGTTGCTCTAAACATAATTTTATATGACAATGAATGTATGTTTTACTTTTACATATAGAAGCACAAGAGTCTGTGGTTCTGATAAGTTATGGCTTCAAATTGTCACAAAAAGCATAAAAGTTCTATTTTTAGCATTATTATTTTGTTTCAAAGCTCCTAAGTGTTATGAGCAGTGAGGCCAGTCTGTTTGAAGTGAAATGGTTTCAGACAGACTCCTAGCCCTCTTCTTCCTTTATGTTAGTATTTTCATGTTAATAAATAAATATTCTTGGGCAAAATCAAATAAAATAGAACAGGTTAAACATGATCATGATGCAATTCATGGACATGCCCCCAGCGGCAAAGCTAGTCTGTATAATTAATACCAACACAACATTGTCTAAAAATTAATTTTGTTGTTGTGCCTCACACACTAGTAGAGTTTGATATAGAGAGGTAAATTGACTTGTAGATTTTCTTCATGACATTTCAAGGAAATTTCAAATTTGTAAAGTGGAAAGAATGACAAAATGACATCTATTTTGTTCAATCGTGCAATTTTGATGTTTACTTATATATTTATTATAATATATTTTCAAAATTTCTGGTATGCAATTTCCAGACTTTTTCAGTCATGTTGTCGACTGAACAGCCCCTCAGTAGGTAAAGGCAAGTGATGAAACCAACTTTTAAGAATACCTCCACTAATTCTGGTTAATTGATTTATAATGTGACGTGAAGCCAGTCACGTCATAAACATTCTTAGTTAAGACATTGCGTAATTATGCTAACTCATGGTTTTGCTATATTTATCTTAGACGTAATATCTAAAAATAGCGTTTATGTAATGTTTTATAAATATCTTTCCAATTGTATATAAGCAGGATAGTTAAAAAGTTGAAGAAGATTAACATATAGTTAAAGAGAATTAAAAGTTTAGAGAAGTTGTTGTTGTTGTTGTTAAAGAAGAATAAATTGATATTATTGGATTTATTGTCGTCGAAAAGTTTATAAGACTAAGAAGAAGGTTATTACAAATACAAGAAAGCCTCCTTGGCAGCGTGTGTCGCTGTGTCTGGTCAAGGAGGGCAACGATCGCAGAGAAGATACAGACACATATTTTTGTTCGTTCCCGCCCGCGAACGTAACAATAATCACCATTGTGTACAAAATAGCAACCGTAATTACAGTGAAAATACAAAAAGTGTCCCACTTCCGCTTCTGTAGTTTGTTGTGATTTACTGTAATTTGTTTTGTTTTTCTGTAGCGATTACCGATTTATCGGCAAATACTGCGATAAAATTTAAATTTCGTTCCTTTTATGCAATGTGTTGTGGAAACCCCGCTAGTATATAGGGCTTCCACGCTCGCTTAACTTGGGACTGTATTCTATTCTTCATTCAATCGTGACAACCAGTAAATTTCACACAACTTTATTTCAGATACGTACTACGACAATGACTATAACAACTACCTACAATCTACATACACGGTTATATATATAATACATTTTAAAGGAAGAAACATCTAACTGATGACATTAAAGGAAGAACAAACCAAGCGTTCATACGCCTACGGCAAGAACATTCTTTTCTCATTTTAACCTAATTTGGACCTACAGGAACTTAATTTGCATTTATTGCGTTCGAAAGAAGAACATGTCAACATTTAATGCGTAAGCTTGTTACAAATTTATATATAACTTCTACAGTATATTGTTGCAATATATATCTATACTTATGAACTTAACAAATTGCGCAACACAATGAAACTAACGAAAAATGTATTATTTCCCTTTGCTACAAATTATCATATTTAAAAATAGAAAAAACTAAGTTTTATCGCGGTATTTGCCGATAAATCGGTAATCGCTACAGAAAAACAGAACAAATTACAGTAAATCACAACAAATTACAGAAGCAGAAGTGGGACACTTTTTGTATTTTCACTGTAAGATTGACGTTTACAACAGACTGCCAACCACAAACTGCAAACTTCAAATCGTATTTTGAGGTTAAGACAAATTGTGCAAATTTGAAGCATAAATTAGCTACTTCACTGTTGACAACTTGTAGAACTTAGCTTCAAATGCAATTCAAAGTTTGCAGTCTGCTGTAAATGTCAATCTTCAGGCAGAGCCGTACACAGCAGGG